TATTCAACCTGTCAGTTTGACTTATTAGCTGAACATTGTCTAAATCCAGTTCATTCAATCGAATAATATCTACCAATTGTTTAACTTCCCAGCCTGTTGTGCATTGATCTCTCCCAATCAGCCCTTTTAGTCGATGCTGTGGCCGACATGAGTCATCGCTTTACTAGCTAGCGTAAACAGTGGCGATCACACAATTTCATTAACTCTCTATGAGCTCAGATTCTTGTTAATACAATCTAAAGATAAGTCCGTTACTTTTCTGTATTCAGTGTCTCAAAACATTCATTCTGACATTTTCCATTCATGTAAAGACATGGAGGTCTCCACGATTCGATCATGGCGAGGGTAAAAAATGGAAAGTTTGCCTTTTATTTCTTCGGCGAGATAAATTTCGCTTAGCATAAGTTTAGTGATGGGCCAAAATACCACGAAACAAAAGAAAATGAACGAACTGCGTAATTTTCTGTTCTTTTTGGAACGGCTACAACATTTTTCACATTGAGGATAAAGTTTTGTGGTTATTTTATCTGAATCTAAAGTTTTACCGATAAGTTCTAGTGCTAACGTCTTTTATTATATAGAATTTTATCGGTATTTTTCTCTTTCAGAATGGATATATTTCACATTATCAACAAATATTCATTACACATCTGGATTATTAGACTCGAATTTTTTTAAATATTTTCTACACCTTACTGGTGTTTTTCTTGTTTTTTGGTGGTCTTTTTTTTATTTTCGAAAAAGCCGGTGTTAATCGATTTTGTTCACTAGTACCTTTTGTAAATTTGTATTTTTTGTTAAATATTGTTAAATTAAATAAATGGTTCTTCTTCTTGTATTTCATTCCGTTTTTTAATTTCTTTTTTTGGATATTCGTCATGAATCGTTTACGTAAAATGTTTCATTTACCATGGTGGGTTCTGGTAGGACTTACTTTTCTTACGTTTATTTTTCTCTTCTGGATTGGTGTAAGCCGTCATGAATGTACAACTTCTCAAGTTTCTCCTGTCAAAGAAGAAATTGTTTAAAACACTCATTGTCTTTCTCTCTCATATGAACATTTCTCATCAATATTTGTGATACATTTTTCTCTATTTGTATTATATCTATTTTTGTTTTCTATTCTGTTTTTGTGTATTTTTTTACGGGTGTCTCTTGGGTCTTATCGTCGTCAGATAACTTTCGGTGCCATTTTCATTCTAATATATTTTGTTTTACTGAAATTTCGTTATTTTTTCTGTTTTATTTTCTGTATAGGCGTTGTCTTTGTCAGACGATTTTTCATGTCATTTTTGTATGTATTTTTGTTGTTTTGATGTGTTTAATATGCTACTATTTTTCTTGTATAAAATAAAATACAAAAAGAGATGGTAAATAAAGAGAAAAACATAGACGTTATATACGGTACTAACATGCGCGTTAAAAAGGCTGAAAAACTAGAAATTGATGAGAATAAGAAGTGAGTATGATCTCTGCGCGAACCTAGTTCGAAGAGCACCACCAATGAGCTGAACATTCATTTACGTAAGACGAGGAATACAGCTCAATGACTTGTGCACATAACATGTAAGAAGCAGACCTAAGACTAAAATCACTATAAGATTTAAAACGAATCCGGCACCAGTAGCGCTGCCCGGATCCATTTCCAGACTGAACAATTTCACTTTGGATACTTTTTCACTTGTATCTTTAGCTGCATTTGCCGTTTTATTGATATCTTTGATTAAACTGTACATTCTTTTTGGTTGAATGAAGGATGTGCGATTGTGTGTTGTAAAGTTTGATAAATGCAAATATTCTGAGCTATGACGAACAACTTCACCTCTAGAAAGAACAAATACGTTTTGTGTTTGTCTTGTGCACGCAGATATATCAGAATGAAGTGTGAAATACGGTAAACAATACATGGTAGTATTACATTCTAATGATAGTAATGACATTGGATTAATCTGACGTGGCGATTTTCGCCTTGAGCATTGGATGACTTGATAGCACTGGGGCGGTTCTGTGGCAGCCAAAATCCATGTGTTCACACCAACATTTAATACACGAAACTGAGAAAGTGGTACGCGTTCAAAGTGACAAGCATCGTGGTCCATGTCAATTTTTAGCAGTTGTCGTAAGCAGGAGTTCTGTAAAACATTTGTCACTACCAATTCATGCTTACACAACATGATTTTCCCTGTTATAGTGCAATCTTTAGTATCATCCGAATAGAGTTCGATAAACTTGTCATGTGTACGGCTAATTCCAATATAGGTTGGAATATTCGTTGTTATATGTGCTACCGCTTCGTTGAAGAATGGTACCGTTGCTAAATGATAAAGATCGAATACCGATTCATCATCGTTTTTACCCGGAAACCCCAATATTGTACTAATTATTAACTTGCCAATTACTTTGGTATCATCAACAGATGCATTTCGATTCGAACTTGAATTCACATATTTAATAAATTGTAATGATTGTTCGATAATAAGGCGATTGAGTAATAGAGCTGTTGATACGTTTGTGTGCGATAATACAGTTTTCAAGCGATTATAATACAATTTTAATAATGAACCTTTACCTCCGGACGATAAGAAATCGAAGTTGTAATTTTTGGCATAAATGTCAGTCATTGTTCGAACCAGGTTGTCACTATTCATACGTTTTAATATTTTCATTATTTGTTCATGCAAATTTTTTAATTCTTCGGTTAAATGAATCGATTTGTTTATTTCACTTTCGATTTGTAGTAATTCATTTTGTGTTGCCTGCATCTCTTTTACCAATTTCAAATCGTTATTTGCCACCATATATATTTCAGCACTGTTGTTAGATGACGTAATTTGATTTTTCTGTGCTTGATCCTCTAATTGTTTCATTTGTGCAACGTTTTGTTCTGCTGACCACCAGGACGAACCACTTTTGATTGTTTGCCATGTTCTGAACATTTCAAACAGCTGTCTCTTTTCACGATTGAGTAGTTCACCTTCGTCGGCCGTACAAAAGTTTTCGTGCATATCTGGTGCACTCAACATAAGGCATTCAGATTTTGTGACTGGTAAATAGAATATGACTGGCTCATGAACAACACGCTCAATATATAACAAATCTGAATAACTAATGACGATTCCGGTATCAGGATGTATCACTGGATCATTAGATTGTTTCAATTGATCAATAATACTGCCACTAATTTGAATTATCGACAGAACATGGATTATCAGCAATATTGGTAATATAGTGAACTTTATCATTTTGTTACCGTACATTAATCACAAAATATTCAAATGAGTATAGTCCAACTTTTGATTAACCATTATGCCACCACAATTTGTTTATATTAGAAAAAGTATAATAAGACTCATTTTCGAAAAAGATTGGCATCAATCTTTCTCTTATCTTTAGTAGAAAAAAATATATAAAACAGATACACGTCATATTTTTGTTTATTCTATCATACAGGAGTGCAAGGTTACTCTTGACTGAACGGTCAAAAGCGAAATAAAGTTTTTATGTACAAGTAAAGTATATAACCTAACTATCATATGTATTTTTCACACACCGATTTTCTGTTGTTTGTACAGTATTTACACAATCTTATAACAAAATGACTTCTCCACGAATTAGTCGTTCTGCACTGTTGGAAGCATTTTTGAATGCTCTGACCGTACATAATTTAAAGGACATAGACAATTTGAATGATTCAATATTTAAAAATATAGGCAAACAATTCAGTTTTAAGTGGGGTGTTCAGCACGACTGGCTCAAAAAGATATGGAAGACAAATCATGAAAATATACGATCCGAAGTTTTGGCTCTGTATCATAAATCGCAGCAAGAGTCACTGTAAGAAAAAATCGCTCTGATAATGTAAATGGTTACTGTATCGATTTCATTAATAATTTCAGGGGTGGTGAATTAGTTGTTTTCTCAAACAAGCCGAATGAAGACGAAGCAACATGTCTCGCTTCAACGTGCTGTATTTGTAAATTAAAAAAATATTTAACAAGAGAAAACGCGACAATGGTGAAGAGTCACAAAGTCGAAGAAAAATTACAAAATGGATATCTGAAACTGTATGGTGTTCAATTAGGTGTACCATTGCTGAACAAATCCATTCATTCGGTATGTTATAGAAAATTATTATATCACGCATCGAGGATAACATCAGCTAATACAAGTACTGGATCTTTAAAAAGAGCCGCAAGTCAACCTGTTCCCGCAACATCACAATCCATCCCATTTTCTAACGGTAAACGTCTACTACACCAGTTAATATTCTACCGAAACAGGTGGTTTCGAATTAGTTTAACTGAATTCGAAACCACTTTAAAGTTTCAATGGATAATGACCCTTTTCTTGTTCTAGAATGTCGAAATTTGATTTGTTCACATAATCTTCATGAAGACAGATCACTGCTTGCCAGCAGTGCAAATATCACCGACGATTCTCCTCCTACATCTCTCGCAAAACCAGTTGATCATCATATACTACACTCAGTATCTGCTCCCGTGAAAAAACAAATAGGAACGAAATCTACTATACGTAGAATACTTACAGCGAGACTACCCTTTTTATCAACTTCCAAAAAAGAACGTTTATCACCTATAGCTGATGCAAATCATGAAAAGAAAGAACGATGTAGTTCATCTATTCAGAGTGAAAGTACCATATCCTTTGGTCCTAGTATCAAATTACCCGCTGAAAGTATTTCATCATCATCGTCGATATTATCAAGTGAGCATCTTGCCTACAGGGAGTTAACTCAACAAAGTTCACTTGACGTTTCACTTTTACGAATGGGTGATAGTATCATTTCCAATCGATTGTTCGAAGCGATCCCCGAAGATGTGACACAATTTGCTTTTTGTTCAAGTACACCGATTACACCAAGAAGGTCTATGAGAGAGGTAATTCACGTTATTATCTACACACCCGAATAACTCTTTCTTTCTTGCAGAAGCACGATCAAGTAACTGATATTGAGTCAACGATTATGATGAATACAGCACAATCAGTCATGCACGGAACAGAAAAATCGGCATTTGATGAACTGTGTGACTGGTTAATTACACTTTTGAATACAGGTTCGTTAGTCTCTGTGAGAACAATACAAGAAACGTATAAAAAGATATTGAACGATCGAGATGGTAAAAAGATTGATCACTCATCCACTCGAGCTTTATATATATGTCGTCGCTTGGAGAATCGTTTTCGTGATCAACTCCACTTTGAAACATCGTCGGACAAAGAAGGAACGCTCGTCGGATTTAAAGATGTTTCGTTTTATATGAAATTATCGTTATTGAAGTATAAAGGGCAAGAACCGTACTCTGTTTTTGAAGCACCTAAGCGAAATGAAGAAAATGAAGATATTCAATCCATTTTCAATTCTATTCGTCTTCTACGCGCTTCTATTCAGGATGGAATGCAGCAATTAAAGCTATTAAAATCTGAACAGTTACTATACTTGACTTCTGATGATTACTGGTCTACTATACCGTTACTTATGAGAAATTTTATTGGATTACTGACGTCAAATAAACGTGATTTTTTTCGTTTATACAGCAGTACTGATTTATTAACATCCGATCTATTTGAAAAATCGTCGAAGTGGTTAAAAATTTCGTCTCTTTGTTATGACATACTCAATTGCAGTGATGATCATCATTTAAGCCCGAAACACTACTTGTTGGGGAACGAATTATTACAGCACGGACGATCAGCCAATTTGTTATCGATATTCAATCGATATGGTCACACCCGCTCGTACCAAACAATCACAAAATTACACGACGAGACTGCACGTCGAGAAGGCGATGGTTATCGATTACCAACACATATTCACCCAGATTACTTTATAATTAAGTGCGTTGACAACTTCGATCTGAATCGCGATACCGTGGATGGAACAGGATCTTTCCATTTTATTAATCAAATTCTAATCCAAGATCCATCTAATATAATCCAAGAACGTACAGAGTCTAAACAAATGTCTGACACAATGAATCAAACGTCCAGACCGAATTAGCGTGGTCTCCGGAGAACCTTTCTAGCTCCGGAACCTTGTAAGCTAACGACCTGGGACTGCTCTAGAAACGAATATCTCAGTCCGGGCTACCTGCCTGTCGTCTCAAAAGTTAAAATCCGAAAC